TTGACCCGCATGACTTACCCTCCGCCGAGGATCGGCCCGATGGATGGTCCCAGCAAAGGCGCGCTGTAGTACAAACCCATCTTGGAGCCACGTTCATGCGAATCAAAAATGTCCGCAAGAGTTGCAGCGCCAATGGCGAGCACGGCACTAGATCTGCGTGGTCTCTGTGTGATGAGCGCTGACGACTACGTGTGTAAGGACGCTGCGTACCCTGCTGCCTGGACGCATCGCATGCCGATGAGCAGGCCTATAGATGGTGAGAGGGCTGCACCGATGGACCCGCCGACGAAGAGGGCGATTGACATAAGGTACACGATCTGTAAGGCAATGAATCACAATCACTCGACGTTAGCATACCTTTGCTGCAGGCGTACCTGGCGGCCTCTGAGCTCGCTGAGTACGCTCCAGAAGAGGGGAATGACGCCTTGAATGAGCACAAAGAGCGACAGTGTCCAGCTGATCTGTGAGCTGCTAGCATGAAGGTCGGCCTCGATCTGCTGGATGGAAGCTTTGAATGCACTGATCACTAAGTCATGAAGCATGCGGTTCCGGGGGACTTACGGTTGTATATGCCTGCAGCAATAGTCGTGATGAGAGATGCAGACGAGATGATGAGCAGGATGGAGGTCTGTGGGTGCATGTCCGTTAGTACTCAACAAGCTACCGTAGAATGCATCCGAGGGATAAAGACCTTGCGTGCAGAGGACCATTGCCGGGGATCATCCACAACGGCGACGTGCTCAATGTCGAGCTGTTCCCTGGCCGACATTGTGGGCACACGCACTCGGAGTGACTCGGTTTCTCAACATGATTGCCTCTTGTAATGGATCCGGGGGCACGTGTAGTCAGAAGCAAACGGAGATCAGTCTGAAGTGAGATCCCACCGGAGTCTCCCAGACGGGGTGGCGGTGGCGGTACGTTGTGGTTTCTGAGGTCCGCCTCAGCGTCTGCGCTCCATACCGCTCCCGCTCCGTCTGATCTAGACTACCTAGTACTCGGAATCGGATGACGCCTTCGTAGGATATTCTGGTGGATGAAGCGAAGTTACTTGGCACTTCACACGAGATACGCCTGTCAAATGACGCTGAAGATCGCAAACCTCCGCGCGGCGGCATGGCAATTGTCTACCATCAATCCTGTTCGGAGGCAAACATCGGAATGTAAGTAGTACTTCATGGTTTCAAAGCAAGCTACTCTGATGACGCAATTCCAACGGGGGGGTATCAAGTATCTTCGAGTATAGTGGTAGAGACTACGTCGCAACGGTGTTAAGGAGCCGAAGAGGCTACGGCAGACTTCTGAGAAGAACACAGCGTTGGATAGACGGGCGTGTGTCTGATTAGCTAGGACGGGTAACAGAGCATTGTGATCACTGCGCACCTTCATATGTCACTCTCTCGCGACTGTCATCCGGCACGTTGACACCAGCTTCAGAACGCAGCAGCAGCAGCCCGACTGCATAGAATCTAGTATGTCAACCCCAGCATCAGCTTCTACGCGGTGATCAATCATTCCATAAAGCTTGTTCCTGGTGACATTCGTCACCGAAGAGTCTCATCTATCAGGCGTCTGATGTTAGTTGTACGGTCTGGATGTACGAAGAAAGCAATGGACACTTCCTCCTAGCACTAACAACCTCGGAATAATGACGCTCAGTCAGAATACGGGAACCCATGGACGCACACACGAAAATCAGTGTTTGTCCTCTGAGTAGCAGTAGTGGTTAGCCAACACAATCGCCTCAAAATGCCACTGCACGTCCGACAGCATTGAGCCAGGTTGGACGGTTTCTTGAAACCCATCCGGCCCGACCACTGTAGCTGGCTGATGGACACCAGAACCGCTGACAATGGATGTGGATGTCTAATCCCCATCTGGACAGGTATCGCGTGAACGGCTGGGTCAAGCTTCATTCTACCCGGGCAAAAGGGGAGTTCGAGCCCGATGTGTGTCCAGACGTCGAGGAGCCCGTGATGTGCGCCACACGTCCAGCACCCCAGAAGCTGTGCCGTGCTGTGAGGTTCCATACCGGTTCGGCAAATCCGCGGGCACATACATCACCACAGGCCTGTCGCCAGAGTCTGTACAGGGCGGGGGCACGCGTGTCTGGACAAATATGCTAGCTCGGGATCCCTACCAAGGAATTGAATGTCAGGGGTCCTTCGGCACGGTCTGTGCATAAAACAACGGTTCAAGAGGCTACAAAATCCAGAGGTGACGCTACTTACCCATCGCCCAATCCTCCTCTACTTCCTTGACCGCATACATCGATGCCCGGAAGCCCCATTCGCAGCGCCCGCAACGCGGCGTTTCCTGCATTCCCTGTCAAAGGCGAGGAAGTGACCATCGCCCCACTCGTCACCATCGACCTCGGGCAACTCATCAAGCGTGATGGCGCAGAGATCGCCAAGCTCCTTGGTGCTTGCGTGACGCACGGATTCTTCTACCTCGACCTCCAGACGAGCGACCAGGGCCGCCAGATCCTCGCGGACGAGCAAGGCCTTCTCCGCTTCATGAGGGAGTACTTCGACCAGCCGCACGAGGTCAAAATGTTGGACGACCGCCAGTCGTTCACCCATGGGTAAGTCTGCGGCATGAGCAGTCCTCATGCAGAGCTGAACATGAGTGTCAGCTTCAAGCCTATTGGAACGTTCTCGGGAACGGAAACGGGCACGAAGGACTGCTATGAAACTCTTAAGGTCAGTCAGATTGATGGGTATCTGGAACAGAGAAAATACTCACCGAGACACCGCAGGTCTCCCGTGCGGAAATGGTTGAGAATTCCAGCAAGCTGCCCGAGGGTGTCAAGGCGAAGGAAGCTCTATTCGAGAGCTTCATCTCGCTCTCGCACTTCATCACCCACACGCTCTTGGAGTGCCTCTCCGACGCCCTAGGCCTCACCGACCGAGCGCGTCTCGAGCAGTTCCACCGCGAGGGCGAGGATACGAACACGACCCTCGTCATGCTCCACTACCCTCCGAGCGCGTCTGACCTGCACGTCGGGCACAACAAGCACACGGACATCGGCTCGATCACGCTCCTCTTCAGCGAGCAGTGGGGCCTGCAGGTCTGGTCGCCCGACACGGACGGCTGGGCGTTCGTCCAGCCGCGTCCGCGCGGGCACGCGACGATCAACGTTGGCGACTCGCTGCGCTTCCTCAGCGGCAAACGCCTCTTCTCGTGCCTCCACCGCGTGATTCCGCCCGCTGGTGGCCGGCAGGAGGAGGACCGGTACTCCATTGCGTATTTCCTGCGGCCTGAGAACAACGCGGTGTACGAGGACCCAGATGGGAAGAAGGTGACAGCTCGCCAGTGGCACGATGGGAAGTATGTGATGTTTGGAGAACCACACACGAGGCAGGACGAGAGCCCCATGCTCACCGGGGGCATGGAGCCTATCCTTGGACGCCGTGTTCAAGTTGCCTAGTTAGTAGGCAATCAGAAGATGAGTGTAACAAGTAGTAGAACAAGCAAACTAAGGATGCGTGTCTTGTGTGGTTTTGATGTATGGACAGCCTCAGTGAGCTAGCAGTTAGCGCGAACTGCAGGGAACGACGGAACGCAACTCACGGTCAGTATCCGCCGTTGATTTTCCTGCATCTGGTCTTTGATTCATAGGTTGTAGTACGTGAGACATTAGGGCGACCGACTCGAATTCAGCGTTCTGAGTAACGTTGACCATGAATTCAACACGGCGCGAGTCAGCTGGGCCGATCCGGGAGGCCTTCTGCGGAAATCATCAGCACTAGTACGACCTTCAACGTCAATTTCAAGCAGGTTGGTGTCTGTTAATATCGCAATCGTGATATGTGTCGGCAGAGGGAATGACCAACGCGCACGGCGGAGGCTATTGCGTCACCGCTGTGGTCACCATCGGCTTCGCACTCGTACCGAATCAGGGAGGCCTCTCACCATATACGACCAAACCCGCTCGAGTAGTGACGATGGGCTGACGTCGCTCGTTGCGATCGCTAGACGTGACATGTCTCAACCTAAGTGCGGGATGCATATAAACCACGCCGCGGTCGTGGGTCTCTCCCCAATCTTTCGCCTGGACCACGACTCAGACACCAACTTCACGAACCTACGCCGCTCTCATCGCGCACTCAGGAAGCATCATGCCGATGTCGAAGAAGCCGTATGGACCCCCGCCCGGCGAACCCGGGGTTGACAACCTCACCTACAATCCGCAGGCAGACGCCCGCTCCGATAACGCTGCGTTCGACGACAACTTCAACGGTTCCGACATGCACCCCGTCGGCGCGCGTGGCGCAGACAATCAGCCCACCTCCCGCAACGCTGGGCAGGAAGATAGGGAAGCGGAGCAGTCAGAAAACTCTCGTCAGATCCCAAGGAGTGGGTATATGCGCCCTTCTAGCTTCCGTACGCTGCTGATAGTGCTGCAGGCGAGGTGAATGAGCTGATGAATAACTCGACCGACGAGGAGCGTAACATGCAAGGTCGTACGCGCGGCAAGAAAGTCGACGCATATCGACAGGAGAGAGACCTCGACCGCGCCCTTGACGAGTCCGGCGCCCTCGGTGATGAACAAGACATCGAGATCGGCGCAGCCACTGGCCGTTGAACGCGCAAAGTAAGGCTTTTATGAGGCAGAAGAGCGCAATCGAGCAATGTATATTAGAGTCGCACCTTGGCCTTGAGCATATCTGGCATGCACGACCGGGTGACCTTTGTAATGGCAACACGCATGCGTAGGTCTTCCACCGCACAGAAGGCTGCACCGATGCGCTCAAGGCATCACTATCCATACCGTGACGGCGGGGTGTTCGCATCCAATACTGCCTAGAACCCAAGTCAGCAAGTCACATAAGGCTTAAGGCACCCACCACATGAAGGGTGTTTACGTGGTACCGGTGGCTTCTGTTGCAGGCAGGTATAACAGGCATGAATGAGAGCGAGGGCTCGGCCTCTGCGGACCAGTCCGGGAGACGAAGGAGTCTCGGGTGAATGATACATGCATGACAGCGATGTCAACCATCGGCCGGCTGGCCTAATGGTTAAGGCGTCAGTTTCCGGTCTTTCCGGGATATTTCCTGGTGACGCTTATGCTAGCTGAAGATTCTGGGTTCGAATCCCAGGTTGGTCGCATCTTTTGTTCCTTTTTGCTCCACGTCTTCACCCCGAGTAAGTATATGTTATGTTACGTACGAATTGGAAGAAAGCTGAACACGATATTCGGATAGACAAAGCAGTATGTATGGAAATGCGACGAAAGCCGAGTTGAAAACGCGGCAGACCGTGCACCGCGATGTTGAACATTCTCAGTGACCGGCAAGTAACAGGAACCCGAAAGGGTTTCATTTGCTCGACCCACTTAGGGCCGCGATAATGTCCTTTTCCGAGACCAGCTTCTCGATTTGCGCCCCAAGAGCGTCACCGTACTTCGCCTTCTCGAGCTTGCGCGCGAGGAGTGACGTGTTGCGCTCGTCGACTTGGTCTTGGCGGACGCGGTGCGAAGCTACACGAGGATGCGGTCAGCTTGACGTGCACTAGAGAAGCCGATACTGGTAGAGGAGCTCGGACAGACCGATGAGTTCCTCAAGAGCAGCCGAGTCGTCATTGGAGTTGCGCATAGGCAAGGCACTGAGGAGGGGTGCTCCTTGGCAGAATATGTCCATGGTGTGGGCTATGTGGATGCCAGTGCAAAGGTCAGAGTGGCAACAGGGGTGAAGTCGACTTATGGCGCACCCTGTTCGATCCGGGCTTGTACGTCCAGCAGCGCCCGCTTCCAGGTCTACGACATACCACTGATCAGTTCCCCAGCGTGACCGGAAACCGTTGATTCTTACCTTCCCTCCGAGGATGGACTCGTCGTGTGGGCGGTCTTCATCATCGGCGCTCTTAATGATGGAAAGCCTCATCAGGTCAACGTATCCAGCGATGACCTTCACCTCCTCTTGGAGCGATTCACGGAGGGCCGGTCGAGTCAGCTCGTCGAATGCAGAGAGCTGTCCGTGTAGGTGAGCCCAGGACATACACACGGCGCGCACGAGGGACGTACCGCTTGAAGATTCTGAGTACAGGCCTTCTCGAGGTCTGCAACCTCGTCGAGCAGGCGTTGGAGATTCCTCTCTTTCTCGGTCTGCGCATAGCGAGTGTGTCACTGCGACGTGACGAACGCGGATGGGCCAGAAAGACCTACGACGCGCGCGTGCATCTCGTTGAGGTCCGCGTCGTCAGCGCCACTTGACTGCCGACTCGGTGGTGGAAGCGGTGACTCGTACTGCAGGTCCCTTGCAGCCCGACTGCGAGCGATCCTCTGGCAGCTCTCACTGGATGGTCCGTGATGAGCATGGAGCGTCGATCCAATTGGGAAAGGCAGCGAATGGCAAACGGAACTCACAACAGATCGGCATTACTTTCTCCCAACGCAGCGCGCAAGCGGGCTTCGCTGGCTCTTCGTCGTGCCTCAGCGCTATCATGGCGCTGGCCGTCCGACGACTCTGTCCGGGAGAGGCGTATGTGATATGCGTGGAGAGCCTGGTATCATCAGTGTCCGCACTGCATGCGCTGTTGATTCGTTGTGCGACATACAGCAAGGACATCTTGCGTGTGGTCGGCTCGTAACTGCCTCGTGGGTTGTTTTCCAGTGATATTCGATGTGCCTTCGGAGGGAACAGTTGGACGAGCGATCTAGGTTTGACGCCGCCGTTGAACATTGCGATTGAGCGGGAAGGGAAACCACGGAACGCACTGCATTCACTGGATCTATCCTAGATAACCAGTCCTGAGGTCCTAACAGACTCCACAAACGGACAAGCTTTGCAATGCTCACTGGAGTTGACCCAGTAGCCGATCGACCTCCTTGACCCTGAACATTCGAAACGTTTCTTTCTCTTCCAGCACTTGCATTAGCATAAGGACCCTCCTCTTGCTGTCTAGCGCATCCTGCAGCTGAGCTGCCTCTCGCTCTGTAGAGGGTTGACAAATGAACGTTGCATTGTATATCTGACAGTACATACGAGACTTCGAGATAGCTTCGAGTCTACTGTTGATCTGGTTTTCCGTATCACTGAACTCGGTCTTCGCTGCCTTCAGTCGCGCCGCTGCATGCTTTGCTTTCACATACTCGGTCGGTTGACCGTTGCCGGCAACTCGACTGGAGGTGCCCGCTTCCCGTGCTCTACATCGCAAAGATAGTTATATGGTATATAATAAAATGAGTGAAGACGACGTACTGCTGGATTGTAGCTCGCACTTTGTTGACTTCCGCCCTCCCCTGCATGTGTTCGGCCATGAAGAAGAGAGCATCGCCAAGCGGTCCTTTACATAGTCTACGCATCTCTTCCGGAGATATTCTCGGCGCACCGAGTTTCAACAATGACTCCCGAATGTACTCGCTCTTGTCAATGGTGGAGTCATCTGGGTGAGATTCAGCGGGTTGCGACTTGGATTCTGAAGTGCTCTTCGGAGCTCGGGGAATTTGAGATTTGGTTCGAGGCTTCTTCGCTTCTGCTGTATCCTTAGCCATGTTCGATGGGATAGCGATTCGATGCGGTTGCGCTGCAAAGACTACAACGGGGTGCCGTGGAGGGAGGAGGGAGAGCTAGCGGCCAGCCACAGACGCGTCTTGGGCAATGGGCGCGACCATGGCTTCGCACATGACCAGGTTCTCACGGATCGTCTGACGCGTCCCGTCCACGCGTCGGGCTCCTCAAGCCAGCCGTCCATTTGCCTAAGTCATCCTATTCCCCTTCGACACACCACAGCGCCATGTCTGCAGCGGCTTCGTCGTCTTCCAAGGCCCCGGAAACGAAGGAAGGCCAGCCCTCAAAGGGCGAGCACACTGTGCCCCACCTAGGCATGCTCGAGGAGGACGATGAATTCGAGGAGTTCACCGTCGCAGGTGCGTAGACCAAGTCATGACGAAGACCTCAAATACTGATTGTTTTAATCAAAATGCTAGACTGGGATGACTCTCAGACAGACCTGGCACATCTGGGTGGTGCGCCACCAGGCGCAGCAAAGAGCGGTGGAGACAAGCTTTGGGAGGACAACTGGGATGACGATGACATCGAGGATGACTTCAGTGTGCAGCTAAGGTGTGTCTCTCTTTGTACTCTGTGAGTACATAGGATGACGGTGGTCCGCAGAAACGAACTCGCAAAGAAGAATAACGGGGGGAAAGGTCCCGAACCAATGCAGCACTAGCTAGTGCCTGGAGTGTTTTCATAGGACGTGTCCACCTTCTTGCAACCCAATCATTCGCAAGCCGCCGAATGTGATTCATTGCTCAAGGGTCGCAGACGACTGGACTGTATTATTGCCCGAATACCTGCCGAGCGGAGGCACGCATGGGTGTTCACATTCGTCGCGGAGCCCGCGGAACAGACGCCAGTGTTCTGGTCAACGTATCTCATTTTACTCGTTCCTCACAGCTGCGTGATCTAGCTAGGATATCATAGCGAATTGTCCACCGGTCATAAGAGACCTCGAGTCCCCGAAGCCGTTTTCCTTTGCCCGTCTTTCAATCTCGAGGAACAAGAACGAACAGACCAGCAACTCCCGGATCTCATCCGCACGTGGGACAAGACGCAATGTTGCCGGGCCCTTCCTCGGCGGGCTTGCGTTCTTGTCCAGCACGGGTTTGTGAAAACCGGCGATGGGTTGCTTATACCCGTCGTCCTTGGTGTAGAGCTACTGTGGTGTCACGACCTTAGGCGACACGACAGAGAGGCACATGATCGTGTGAAGTGCCGGCCCCAGGCGACTCAGGCCCCGGGACATGGGACAGTGGCGACGGAACACAGGCGACGACCGGTGTCTATTGTAGCCCAGCGCTTAGATTCGCCCCAGCCACCTTCGCTGCGATAGGGCTTAGTGTTCTGTGCAGCACGTCCCGTCTTGAAATAAGACATGGGGGGAGATCTGCTCAGAAGCCAAAATATATCTATGATTTATGATGATTATAGTTGCTACCATGGAACCGACAATCCTGCAATACAAGCAGGCTGTCTGTAGTACTACATATTCAGCATTGATCGATAACAATCAGCCACCGTGACATACTAGTCGATGTGGCGGCTGATGGTGGGTTGTCTCTCGCAACGACTCAATACGACAGGACCTATGGCACATAGCCCTGGACACAGTAGCACTATTCCTCAACTAGAGGCAAGGACGGCTGTCCTTGAGCAGCTCTTTAACTCCCTCGCACCAAAACTTCCTATTCCATCAGTCGCCCTTGACATCAGCCTTGACGAAGATATTGTGGCAGACGATGGCCATGCTGCAGCACTAAATCACTGCTTCCATCGTGTATGGGGTTACCGAAACACTGGCCTACAAGTCACAGAGGGCGGTGTGAAGCTCGAATCTACGGTCAAGATCATCAAGCATGTCATACCTCTTGCAGGAGACCTGGGTCTTCTCGCCGGGTGGATTGATGCACTGAGTGACGCTGCAATTGCTGCTGGTGCTATGATCGAACAGTACGTGATCAATCGTATGAGACACAGACACAACATCAACTCATCACCTATCTTAGGCCCATTCTTGATGGTGTTCAATCTGCATCGACGTCGGTCTCAACGTCAGATATTGTATCGGTCCACGACAACTCTGACTCTGACAGCATGTCTGGTGGATCAACATCAGAGTCAGAGTCCGACTTTGATGCAAATCCACCGCTTTCTATCCCTACACCACCTATTCCACCACGTAATCAGTTCGGCATGTTCAAGCAACGACAGGCATCGCTTAACTTCCAGAAACTCACCACACAAGAGGCTGCTGAGCAACGCAAGCGGATGTGGGCTGAGGTCAATGCACGTTCAGCACGAATTGAAGTGCATGAGGAAGCTGGGCGTGCTCGGAAAGAAGAGCTGAGGAAGGCTTACGAGCGCGTTCGGAAGCAGATTTATCGCGCACACAAGCCCAAGCCTGACAAGAAGCCAGCACCCCACACTCCCGTCATAGCCCCTGTTCCCACATCAGCTACCATCACAGACCCTGGCGCACCACCCATGATACCTGTCCAACAGCAGAATGCACGCCTTGCCGCTTCGAAAAAAACGCTTCAGCGCCATGAGAGGGCTGCTGAGAAGCAGCCTGACGTGGCTCAACCTGCCTATCGGATGAATTGGC